TTCCATCGCTCTAGCGTGGCTAATGCTCCGTGTGACCGCAGCCTAGGTCTATCTTATTAGCCCTTGTATGTTTTTATAGTTTTATATGAGGTATGAATGGGCCCTTGTTTGCTATTTTAATTTATGTTGAATAAACACACATATATATATTTGTATATTTTGTAATTAGATTTTTAGAGCTGGCCCTTTTCTATTCCTGACTAACCTTTTTGGGTTCTGAATTCTAGGTTTAGGTTCAGTTCCCCCCCCCCTTTTTTCTTCTTTGTCCCTGCCAAAGCAGGACAGGCAGTTTTACTCCTCACATCCCAGCAAGTTTCCACTGTTTCTGGATCGGGCCCCACTTGAGGATTCTTCTCCCTGCTACCGACCGCATCAGCAAGACCCGAGGAAGTAAAGGAAGTGGCCAAGGAGCCTTCCGCCAAGAATCCCCCGTGTCCCAGCCCAGCCTCTTTCTAAAATTATATTTCAATCTCTAATCGTACTTATTGCTACTCTGGAAGTCAATACTCGGCTAACGAGTCGGACAGAATGACCGGTGGCAACGGCTTTGACCCTCACCACTCTCCAGAGGTTCTGGGCCGGCATGGAGATGTTGTAATCGATGTAACAGGAGACTTCTTGGGAGTGGGGGCTCAGCGGGGCGGCGACGTCGTGCCTGTGAAGCCAGAAGAACAGAACAGAATCTGACCTCACCCCCAGTGGCGTTCTTAGAGGGCGTTCACGTCCAGATGACATAATAGTGCCAGTCAGTTCAAATGGGGAAAAAATGATGGAGTTTTACTTCCGCCAGTGTCAGTTAACAGAAGGGGAACGGGATTCAGTGCTGAAAGCACTGCACTGGCTGCCTATAGCATACCGAATTCGGTTCAAGGTGCTGGTTCTTACCTTTAAAGCCCTTTATGGTCAGGGGCCCACATACTCGTATGTTCCCCAGAGAGCATTAAGATCAGGGTTCTCCCGGGTCCAAGAGAAGCCAGGCTGGCTGTGACGAGGGCCAGGGCCTTTTCAGTGGCGGCTCCGCACTGGTGGAATAAGCTCCCGGAGGAGATCAGGGCCCTGCGGGATCTTATGCAGTTCTGCAGGGCCTGCAAGACGGAGCTCTTCCACCAGGCTTTCAACTAGGAGCCGCCGCCCCCAACCACCAACGAGCCGGCCCGTAGTACTAACATCTGGCCGCTACCACTGTGCTCTGGAAGATCATTCAGCGAAACTGTCTGGTTGTATGGTAATTTCAGCACGCCATCTTATGCATTCAATGTATTAGCACTAGCACTTTCTGAGGTTTTGTTTTATCTTATTGTATTGAATTTTAAATGGTTTTATGCGAATGTAGACCAATTATGTAAGCCGCCCTGAGCCCACTCACGGGGTAGGGCAGGGCATAAATTTAATTTAAAAATAAAAAATCTCTGTAGTCTGGAGAAAAGCTGTAATTCTGGGGAATCCCCAGGTCCCACCTGGAGGCTTGCATCCCTGAATGCCACAGAGTCCACCTTCCAAAGCAGCCATTTTCTCCAGGTGAACGGATCTCTGTCACCTGAAGATCAGTTGTAACCTCAGGAGATCTCCAGCCACCACCTGGAGGTTGGCAACCCTAACCTCATCTCACAACAGACCATGCTTCCCTTTAAGAAGTTCCACCACCAAATGGGCTGCGACTTCTTCTATTCAACCATGACTGGTGACAGCAGTTCATACATTTGTACCTACAAAGTTAAACAACCATAGTGTTCTTTATTCACTGGGCTGCCCTTGATGACTGCCCAAATTAGGGGTCCCCAACATGGCACCCATGGGCACCATGGTACCCGCCAACACCTTTCCTGGTGCTAACCAAGTTTTTTTTAGAAAGTGAGTTTAGCCCTTTGGGGCTCCTGCCCAGTAGGGCATCTGATGGACTGTGCAGATTAAAATAACATTTCGGCAGGAGCTACCAATATGGTATTGGTTTGATTGGTTAAGAGCACGGATTCTTATCTGGGAGAACCAAGTTTGATTCCCCACTCTGCCACATGCAGCTGCTGGCGTGACCTTGGGTCAGTCATAAGTTCTTTTAGAGCTGTTCTCTCAAGGGCAGTTCTCGAAAGAGCTCTCTCAGCCCCACCTACCTCACAGGGTGTCTCTTGTGGGGAGGGGAAAGGGATTGTAAGCCGCTCTGAGACTCCTTCGGGTAGAAAAGAAGAAGATGAAGAAGAGATTGGATTTATATCCTGCCCTTCACTTGGAGTCTCAGAGCAGCTCAGAGCAGCCACTCCTCCACTTGCAGCTGCTGGATGACCTTGGGCAAGCCGTAGTTCTGATAAGAGCTGTTCTTGAAAAAGAGCAGTTTCTGTCAGAGCTCTCTCAGCCCCACCTACCTCACAGGGTGTCCGTTGTGGGGAGGGGGAGGGAAAGGAGTTTGTAAGCTGAGACTCCCTTGGGTATAAATCCAATCTCTTCTTCTCCTTCTCTTCTTTTATAGGATAAGAAAAAACAAAGAAATCCAGGACAGGTATTTCAAAAAGAGTTTATCAATTCCGTTCCCAAACATCATTCCCGCTACCCTTTGTTTAGAGGACATTCTACATCCCTAAGAGGGACATAGGGAAAACAAACCTTCTACACTTTTCCCATGAAAGATAAGGATGGCACAGACCCTTGACTGAGATAAGGTTGCATAGAGATCAGGAGGTCAAAGAACAGATGTTAGGTAAGGGTGAGAAGAAGGGGAGAAACATTCTAAGATATAGCAAATCAGTCCAAAAGATAGTAGATCAACCTCAGACTCACTAGTCAAACTCATTGCTAGGATCTTAAATCTTTGCTAAATTCTTAATGGCGAAATAAAATACTTCTACAATAACGGTGACAAAGCCTAGTCTTGCATTTATTTATTTATTTAATTTATCTCCCACCCAATGGGGACCCAAAGCGGATTACATGGTTCTCCTCTCATCAATTTTATCCTCACAACAACAACCCTGCGAGGTAGGTTAAGCTGAAGAGGTGTGACTGGCCCAAGGTCACCCAGCAGGCTTCCAGAGCACAGCAGGGATTCAAACCTGGGTCTCCTAGTTTCTAGTCTAACCACTGCTCCACACTGGTACACTACTATACCAGCCAACGTGACCAGAAGTGAGAAACCTGCCCTTTCAGGGACAGCACGTCTCAGGATCCTAGTAGTGGAATAAAAGCGAGAAGGCGTGTGAAGAGCTTTGAACACTTGACCGCACTGGATACGTGTCAAGCATGATGCACACCATGCTAGATTTCTCATCGGTAGCTTCATGGCGGTCAGATGTCATCATAACACCATGCTAGTTGCCATCCAGTCCAGCGTTTCTTTTGCTCTTACCAACAGCTGGCTTGAGTCAAATCTGAACCAGCACAGGATCGTAACAGAGGGAAGAGAAGGAGCGAAGGAGCTTACGTGTTCAGGTAGCGCGTTGTGATCCCGTGGACCAGCTGAACGATATTCCCGTGGCGCACAGGACGTGGTGGGTTACTGACCACCAGCTGCTGCCTGTGGGAGATAGGAACAAGGAGAGAGGGGCCTTAACTCAAGAACCAAACAGGTCACGGTGAGCGGGTGGGAAAGCCAGAAAGAAGCCTAAAGCGACACACAAACCCAAGCTTAAGAACTAGGTGAGAGACAGGGAGACGAGCTGAACTGCCACTGGGAGAACTGGAACTGGCATTGCTGGTTCAAAAACCTACAGCAAGCGCCAGGGCAGTGGAGACATTACAAGATGGAAATGCTCCACCCCTGAAAGCATACTAGCATGGCTCTGATCTTGCTGAGAATCACCGTGGATGGATAGATTTCCATCAGCAGAGGAAGAATTTCTTAAAATTCCCCCTTCCACTGCAGCCTAAAATAACCCCCGAAATGCTGCTCCGGGGAGCCAGAGGGCTCTCCAGGAACAACAGAGTGTGGGGTCAGATGTCTGCAGTGGGAGAGTGAATTTCTAACCCCCTGGTGGCAATGTGAGGTAGGATCCAACCCAATATATATGCATTAAAGCCAGTTCTACAATCAGGTCATCTACTGCTGGTGGCAACGTAAATTCATTGAGGAATTTTGGCGTGACATACTTTCTCAAATAAAAATTCTAAGTGGATACGAGGT